AGACTTGACTAGACCATAGATTAGTCTATAGACTTGAGTATTGACCAGACTATAGACTAGAGTATAGACTAGACTATAAACTAGACTATAGACTAGACTATAGCCTAGACTAGACTATAGACTAGACCAAAGACTAGACTGTAGACTAGATTATAGACTAGACTAAAGATTAGACTAAAGGTTAGACTATAGACTAGACTACAAACTAGACTATAGACTAGACTAGGCTATATACTAAACTACAGGCTAGACTATAAACTAGAATGTAGACCACACTATTTAACTAGACCATAAACTAGACTATAGACTAGACTATAGACTAGACTATAGACTAGACTATAGACTAGACTATAGACTAGACTATAGACTAGACTATAGACTAGACTATAGACTTGACTATAGACTAGACTATAGACTAGACTATAGACTAGACTATAGACTAGACTATAGACTAGACTATAGACTAGACTATAGACTAGATTATAGACTAGACTATAGACTAGACTAAAGGTTAGACTATAGACTAGACTACAAACTAGACTATAGACTAGACTAGGCTATATACTAAACTACAGGCTAGACTATAAACTAGAATGTAGACCACACTATTTAACTAGACCATAAACTAGACTATAGACTAGACTATAGACTAGACTATAGACTAGACTATAGACTAGACTATAGACTAGACTATAGATCAGACTATAAACTAGACTATAGACTAGACCAAAGACTAGACTGTAGACTAGATTATAGACTAGACTAAAGATTAGACTAAAGGTTAGACTATAGACTAGACTACAAACTAGACTATAGACTAGACTAGGCTATATACTAAACTACAGGCTAGACTATAAACTAGAATGTAGACCACACTATTTAACTAGACCATAAACTAGACTATAGACTAGACTATAGACTAGACTATAGACTAGACTATAGACTAGACTATAGACTAGACTATAGACTAGACTATAGACTAGACTATAGACTAGACTATAGACTAGACTATAGACTAGACTATAGACTAGACTATAGACTAGACTATAGACTAGACTATAGACTAGACTATAGACTAGACTATAGACTAGACTATAGACTAGACTATAGACTAGACTATAGACTAGACTATAGACTAGACTATAGACTAGACTAGACTATAGACTAGACTATAGACTAGACTATAGACTAGACTATAGACTAGACTATAGACTAGACTATAGACTAGACTAGACTAGACTATAGACTAGACTATAGACTAGACTATAGACTAGATTATAGACTAGACTATAGACTAGACTATAGACTAGACTATAGACTAGACTATAGACTAGACTATAGACTAGACTATAGACTAGACTATAGACTAAACTATAGACTAGACTATAGACTAGACTATAGACTAGACTATAGACTAGACTGTAGACTAGACTATAGACTAGACTATAGACTAGACTATAGACTAGACTATAGACTATAGACTAGACTATAGACTAGTCTATAGACTAGACTATAGACTAGACTATAGACTAGACTATAGACTAGACTATAGACTAGACTATAGACTAGACTATAGACTAGACTATAGACTAGACTAGACTATAGACTAGACTAGACTATAGACTAGACTATAGACTAGACTATAAACTAGACTATAGACTAGACTATAGACTAGACTATAGTCTAGACTATAGACTACACAATAGAGTAGACTATAGACTATACTATAGACTAGACTATAGACTAGACTATAGACTAGACTATAGACTAGACTATAGACTAGACTATAGACTAGACTATAGACTAGACTATAGACTAGACTATAGACTAGACTATAGACTAGACTATAGACTAGACTATAGACTGGACTATAACTAGACTATAAACCAGACTATAGACTAGACTAGACTATAGTCTAGACTAGACTATAGACTAGACTATAGACTGGACTATAGACTAGACTATAGACTAGACTATAGACTAGACTATAGACTAGACTATAGACTAGACTATAGACTAGACTATAGACTAGACTATAGACTAGACTATAGACTAGACTATAGACTAGACTATAGACTAGACTATAGACTAGACTATAGACTAGACTATAGACTAGGATATAGACTAGGATATAGACTAGACTATAGACTAGACTATAGACTAGACTATAACTAGACTATAGACTAGACTATAGACTAGACTTTAGACTAGACTATAGGCTAGATTATAGACAAGACTATTGATTAAACTTTAGACTAGACTATAGACTAGACTATAGAATAGAAAATGATGTTTGTTAACTTCCATTAGTTTCATTGGCAACATTTCTGCAGAGTTGTCATGTTTAAAGCACTCATCTGGCAGCTCTTTGTGTTTGTCTTTAACGTACTCCGACTATCTCTCTCTATTTTACAGATAGTAAGTAATTTTTTTAGTATTTTATTCCTTGTTTTTTGTTCTTGTTTTCTTTACGTAAATGAGAATGTGTGCTGATATGTTTATTAGGGATAAAAAAAAAACTCTATTAGATTAAAAAAAGAACGCATTTTATTTAATTTAGTTGTTGGTATTTCATTCTGCTCCTGCTAGTACTCACTTATACACTTACATTCCACACACTTAAAGCTAGAGCAAAATATGTGTGAAGAAACTCAGGGAGAAGAAGAAAAACAAAAAAACAATGTCTATATGTAGTGTTTTTTTTAATTCAACAATTTCAGTACATTTGTGCACTTATGAGAGTCAACATGTTGTTTTGAAATGTTTTTTTAAACAGAAATAATAAATATTTTGTTTTTTAAATAAGAAAAAAATCTCCAGTTAATATTAAAAAGAATAATAAAACTAAAGAAGTGTTATTTTAATAAAATTTATAACTATAAATAAAGAAAATTTATAAAATCTCAAAAAACAAGTGTTTAAAACTTTACACCGTAAGAAATTTTCAAAGATTTTATTAAATAAAAGTAAAATTTAACAAAAAATATATGTAAATTAGTAAATATTTTCTTTCAAAACTAAAAGAAACCTAAAAAGAGTGTATAAAATAAAACAAATAGAAAATATTCCATTGAAACAAATTATAAAAAAAGAAGGCAAAAAACTAAATATAGAAAAAAACACATTAAGCAACAATAAATGAATTTGTTAAACAAAAAAAAAAATAGAAAAAAATTTACCAAATAAAATGGAACAAAATTTGAAAAAGAAATATATAACAAATACAAAAAAACACATATATAAACAATAAAATTAAATAATATTTATATAAAAAAGTTTAAATGGAATTTTTTGTATAAAATAAAATCAATTTAAACAAAATATATAAATAAAAAATATCAAATATATATAAAATTAATAAATAAAAAAGTAAATGATTTAATTAAATAAATAAATTAATAAAAAAGAAATAAAAATATTAACAATCAAATAACTATATAAAAAAAACAAATAAAAATAAATAATATACTAAAACAAATAATTAATTAGAATAATCTTTATTAAATTTTGTAAAATTGTTTAAACAACAAACCATTTTTTTATTCAAAAATACTAAAAAATAATCGGAAAACCGAATTGCTAATAAAATTACACTTCGCAGTAAAAACTTAAAGTGATTCTGAAAAAAAAACTATTAAGAATTATTGAAATTAAATCATTAAAGAGAAAAATTGTCTTATTTTTATTGAAATTTTTGGAAATTTTTAATTTTTTATAAATTATACGGATTTTTAAATTTTTTTAATTTTTTACAATATTTATTAAATACAATTCAACAGATTTGAAATTTTTTTTTTAATAATTTTACAAAATTTCAAAAAAAAAATCCTTTTTTCAACATTTATTTTAATTTAAAATTTTTCAAAATAAGATTTTTTTCAATTTTTCATATAATTTTCCAAATTAAATTTTTAAGTTTGTGCATGTTTTTGAATAATCAGTTACATAGTAATACAAACATGGACTTTACAAAGTTGTTAGCAATCGTCTATCAGTATTTTTATAAAATTTTTTATCAAAATTTACATAATTACACAAGAATTTCAAAAAAGATTCCAAATTTCTAAGGTGAATGTCTGAAATCAAAACATTTCCTATAAAAATGCTCAAAATATTACAAAAATACTCTTAATGACTAATAAATAACACCACGGCAACACCTTCTAATGTTATCATTCTAAAATGAATGATTTTTTGCAAAACAAAACTAATTTTCTCACAATGTTTTGTTATTTGAAAATTCTTGGTCGTTTTGTGGCTGTGGTTTTAATTGTATTCAAACTTTTGCAATTGCAGTGCAATCAAAACAAAACTTACACTCTCACACACACACACACACTAATAGGGCACAACAAATCAATAACAAAGTTAACGGACACAGCGCAAAAAAAACTAAAATAAAAGTAAAATAATAACATGACCTGACATTTAACACACTGCAAAAAGATACAGGGGTTGCCATACCACCCTGATAGCGGTGCATAGCTATTCACAGGGAATTGACAGTTTAATAAAAGGATGATATTTGGGAGATAAAATTAAACTATAAAATGTGATAAAAGAAAAGGTTTTAGGGAAATTAAGGGATTAATAAAGGAAATTGAAGAAATTTTAAATTAAGGTAATAAATTTTATATAAAATGTATTTAAAAATTCATGAAAATCTTTAATTTAATATAAATTTTAAAAGTAAATTGCATTAAAAAGGGAAAATGTTAACTTTTGTTAAAAACGATATAGGAAATGTATGAAAAAATGGTTTGTTGTTTAAAAAAATTTAATATTTTTATAATGTAATAAAAATAAATAAAAAAAACTTAATAAAAAACTGAAATAATGCAAAATATTGCTGTTTTAGAAGATTTTCTATGAATTGCTTTTGAAATATCAATAATTTGGAATAGAAAGGTTTCATTAAAGAAAAATTTCGTTGTTTTTTGTTAAATTTTCTTAAAATTTTGTTAAAAAAGTGTTTTACAATCTTATTTTTTCAATTTTAGTTTGTTTACTTTAAAGAAAAGTTTTTTATGAAAAAAGCCATGTGACTTAATTTTGTTAACAAAACGTTACTTAAATGAAGAAAAGAAAGAAATTATAAGAAAAATAATAAAATAAAAAGTGTTTTAAAGAATAACTAAAATAAAAACTAATACAAGAAAACCACAAAAAATATAGAAAAATCCAAAGTGTTTTTAAGCCAATTAACAGAAATACAAAAAATTTACAAACTATTTTTAACTAAAACAGAAGAAAATAAATAAAAACCAAGTAAAGTTATAGAAAAAAACAAACCCCCGATGGCAACATTAGCAATAGAACAAATAAACGCCCACACCGCCAGTGCCACGACGACCACAGAGCCCATTAAGATACCCCTCAACAACGAAGAACGTTTCTCTACACAATTGTCCACGGGATCGGCCGACAGTGCCTGTGTGGTTAATAATGGCCATTCCTCCACAAATTCCACAGTCTTTTTGACCAGCAGCTGCAGTCAACAGAATAAAAAAGATTCTACCCAATCTTTAAATATACGCAGTGCCTCCTTGAGTTTACATGCTGGTGTGGGTCATGCTAAATCGCAATTGCATAAATTGAAACAGCCAGCCTATAGGCAATTACTTTCACAAGATAGTGGCATAGATAATGATCGTGATTCGGCTATAGGCTCTCAGCAGCAACTTAAATCGGCTCAATGTTCTAGCTCGAGCAGTGAGTCCATAGGCGCTAACTCCTCAGGAGATTTATCGCAATCTAAATACTCAGAAGATAATTTAGATACCGAATCTTCTTTGGGTTATTCGGGTAGTACACATAATTTTGGTGCCACTCGACGCATTAAGTATAAATCCTGTAATAGTTCCACTACTTTAGGATGTTTGGGTCTAGAAGATCGCATAGATGAGGTAGAAGATCTACATGATGATGAGGATGATGAAGAAGATGTTGTTGATGCCGAGGAAGAGGAAGATAATTCTGTTGAAGATGATGATGAGGAAGAAGAGGAGGAGGAAGAAGATGCTAATGATAGTGGTTTACAAATGTCCTTACTACCACACAAGGACTTGAAAGAAACCAAACATTCTACATCTTTACAAAATCCCGATAAACTTCAGCATCATCCAAAAACCTCTGCTTTAGCCTTAAAAGCTCCCGCTAAAACACAACCCCCCACAAAAGCTTCTTCTTCTGCTGCCACCACTAACAACAGCAACAATCACAAAGAACAAGTTTTAGCCACCGATGGCAATTACTATTTCCCTCTACTCAATATCTCCGATGATCCCACAATCAATCCAAAACTCATCAATAAAAAAGATGGTCTACAAGATTGTATGTATTATTTGGATGAATTTGGTAGTCCAAAATTGCGCGAGAAATATGCCCGCAAACAAAAACAAAAAGAACTTAAACAGCATGCAAAAGCTTTGAAGAAAAAGGCTGAAGAAGAATCTTCTAAACAGAAATCCAAAAATTCATCTGAAACTCACTGTGATACTAAAGAAAATAATAGTAAAATTAATAATAATAGTAATTTAAGTTATGCTAAGAAACCAGCGGAAATTAGTTGTAAGGAAAATCCAGCAGATGAAGCCGAAATTGCCGAAGAGGTGGAAGAAGTGCAACAACAGCAACATAAGCATACACCTCATACTACACCTTCGTGTGTTAGTTGGACAAAAGTTGTGCAAAAATTTAAGAATATAATAGGTAAAGTTGGATTTTTTTTTATCACTAAGTGGCGTGTAACTTTAAAACTTATAGAATTTTTTAACAAAATTTCATGTTTTTAATGGCAATTTGAAACAAAATGTCCTTAAAATTTGTAAAATGTAGCAATACGGCAACACTTTATTATGTTATCAATCTAATGTGAGTGACAAAAATTACAACAATGAACTGTAATTGAACTAGAACTGAACTAGAACTGAACTAGAACTGAACTAGAACTGAACTAGAACTGAACTAGAACTGAACTAGAACTGAACTAGAACTGAACTAGAACTGAACTAGAACTGAACTAGAACTGAACTAGAACTGAACTAGAACTGAACTAGAACTGAACTAGAACTGAACTAGAACTGAACTAGAACTGAACTAGAACTGAACTAGAACTGAACTAGAACTGAACTAGAACTGAACTAGAACTGAACTAGAACTGAACTAGAACTGAACTAGAACTGAACTAGAACTGAACTAGAACTGAACTAGAACTGAACTAGAACTGAACTAGAACTGAACTAGAACTGAACTAGAACTGAACTAGAACTGAACTAGAACTGAACTAGAACTGAACTAGAACTGAACTAGAACTGAACTAGAACTGAACTAGAACTGAACTAGAACTGAACTAGAACTGAACTAGAACTGAACTAGAACTGAACTAGAACTGAACTAGAACTGAACTAGAACTGAACTAGAACTGAACTAGAACTGAACTAGAACTGAACTAGAACTGAACTAGAACTGAACTAGACTAGAACTGAACTAGAACTGAACTAGAACTGGAACTGAACTAGAACTGAACTAGAAATGAACTAGAACTGAACTAGAACTGAACTAGAACTGAACTGGAACTGAACTAGAACTGAACTGGAACTGAACTAGAATTAAACTAGAACTGAACTAGAACTAAACTAGAACTAGAAGTGAACTAAACTAGAAATAAACTGAACTAGAACTGAACTAGAACTGAACTAGAACTAAACTAGAACTAAACTAGAACTAAACTAGAACTAAACTAGAACTATACTAGAACTAAACTAGAACTAAACTAGAACTGGACTAAAACTGAACCAGATTTGAACCAGAAGTGAATTAGAACAACTAGAACTAAACTAGAACTGAACTAGAAATGAGCTAGAACTAAACTAAAACTGAACATAAACTGTCCTAAAGTTATGTTTTCTCAGTTTTTCATATAAACGTTTTTATAAAATACAACTTTTTAGCAAACTTTAAAAATCTAAAAATTTGTTATAGTTTTTACTTCTTTTTTGGTTAAAATTTGCAAAAATTACAAAAAAAAATATTAATTTCTATTAAATAACAGTATTGCTGTAGACTGTGTAATGTTATCACTTCCATGTGAATGATAATTCAAAACAATGTAAACACAAACACTCGAACACAAACATTTGACAGCAGCAAGCAAAAGAAAAACAAAACACAAACAAGCAGAGTCGAAAGGTAATTAATTAAAACAAGGGAAATAAACGATTTGGGACAAGTTTTTTAAAGAAATTTATTGAATTTTTATAAAATATTGAACCATTTACTATTTTCTTTTGAAAAATATGTATTTAAACTTTGAACTTCTTTTGGAATTCTAAAAATTTAACAAAATTACTAAATTCTCTTTAATAAATAACTATTTAATCTTTAAATTTTATATACCTCAACATTTTTAAAATATTTTCATAATATTTAAACTTGGTTATTTCAACTTATTTTCTTTATCAATTTATTTAACTTTTTAACAATTTACTTAAAATTATTTTATTATTTTCTTCTATTTTTAGGTAAGTTTCTAAGTGTTATTTTATCATTGTTTAGACGTGCGATAAGAATTTGAGCTTTTGCTTTTCCCAACCCAAAAAAAAAGGTAAAGTGTTCTTAGTGATAATCTTTTTGTTCTATATTATGATTTACACACAAAAAAAGTTGCAACTAATGCCCGAACAGCCGAGAGATTAGATGTCAAAACGGATTTGAAATTGTTATCATCAAATTGTATAAAAAGAAAAGATTTATTAAGGAAATTGTTTAACAAAAGAAAAGTAAAATTAAACAAATTTTAGAATTTTAAGAATTTCTTAAGAAATTGTTTAAATTAATAGCATTTTAAAGAAATTTAATGAATTCTTAGTAATTTTTAACAAATATTTTCTATATTTAATTCATTTTGCTAATACAAACTCCATTTTATGCTAAGTTTTACATTTTGTATCACAAAAACAAAATCGCCTGCTATTGTTTTGTAATAAATGTAAACAAAACTAAATTTCTAACTGTCACTCTCACTCGCAAAGTTGCCAGTTGTATGTGGTTTATAAAAGGTATTGCCATATGGTTTCTTATAATCTAAAAGGATTTTTAAGCGTTTTTCAGTTGTTTTCTTAAACAATCAAGTAAAAATTTAATTTTTGTTATAAATTTAATGGATTTTCTTAATTATTTCAATAAATTACTAAACAAAGTTACCTTTACTTTAGTTTTTTCTTAATTCTTTATATATTTGTTGCTATTTAGTGCAATTTTTTCTATTCTTCTTTACATTTCTTTGTTTTTCTTTTTGAAATGTAATATTTAAATCACTTCCCTACTACATGTTTCCAAATGAACTTTGTACTTTGGGTTTTTAATAATTATCACTTTATTATTATAAATATAAATAAACTTCTTTGTTGTTGTTGTTGTGTTAGCATTATAATGTAAATTTGATTATATTGTGTAAAGAAAAAAACAAAAGAATTATACAACTATTCTTTAAAGTTTTATAAATATTGCACAAATATGAAAAAAATCTTTTGTTTATAACAAACTTGCAAAAAAAAAATCTTTAAGAAACTGACACATTCCTTTAAAAAAAACTAAAAAATTACTTTTCCTGTAAAAAGTTTAAGAATAAAAGGAATATTTTCAGTTGACAAATCGTAAAAGTATTCACTGTTAGTAGAACAAGAACAAAGGGTATTTAATGTAAACAAATTATATTATTTTCTTTATTATTTTTGTAACAATACAATGATAACAAAAGTAACAGTGTTACAATTACAGCGATTTTCCGCATGAAAAAATACCTCTTTTTATCCAAAACTCCTAAATATAAGAAGTTTTAAATCAAGCTAAATAATTGAAAACTCCTCAAAAATGTTTGTTTTAAAGCATTTTTAAAAAAGTAGTAGAAATACTACTTTTTTTAAATGTCTTAAAATTGCAAAAATCACTTACACATTTGAAAGTATGTTTAACTTAGATAAATAACCATATTTAAACTTTTCAAAAATAGTACTAAAACTACTACTTTTTATTAAAATTTTTTTAAATAAATCAAAAAAGTACTAAAAAATTATGGCAAAATTTTTTGGTTGTTTCATTAACTTCAAATTTCTACTTAGATTACATTTTTATAAAATTTTAAAATAGTAGTAGAAATACTACTTTTTTAAAATGTCTTAAAAATACGAAAATGTATAAGTACATTTGAACGTATGTTTAACATAAAGAAATATGCATATTTAAACTTTTCTAAAAAAGTACTAGAAATACTACTTTTTGCTAAAAAATTATTAATTATTAAAAAAAGTTGTTTAAAACATATACCAAAAGTTTTTAATTGTGTTATTTAATTGAAATCGATAGAAAGATTGCATTTTTATAAGAAATTAAAATAGTAGTAAAAATACTACTTTTTTAAAAATATCAGAAAATTGTAAAAATTACTTATACATTTAAATGTATGTTAATTATAGAGAAATAGGCAAAAAGTTCCAAAAAATTATGCCCACATATTTGGCTTGTTTTATTAAGTGGAAATCTTTACTTAGATTACATTTTTATAAGAGTTTCAAATAGTAGTAGAAATACTACTTTTTTTAAAATGTCCGAAAATTGCAAAAATTACTTATACATTTGTATGTAAGTTAATTATAGAGAAATAGGCACATATAAAAATTTCTAAAAAAGTACTAAAAATACTACTTTTTGTTAAAAAAAATTATTAATTATTAGAAAAAAGTTGCAAAAAATTATGCCAATAGATTTCGGTTGTTCCATTAAGTTGAAATTTCTACTTAGATTACATTTTTATAACAGTTTAAAATAGTAGTAGAAATCCTACTTTTTTTCAAAATGGTTTAAAATAGCAATTTATTTATTAAAATTGAATTTCTTTAACAAAATTTAAACTTTTTGTTAATTTTTTTTCAATTTTAGCTTTAAAATATAATTTTTCTTGAATTATTTTTTTTAGTTTTTTTATTGCTTGACTTTTTTTTTTTTTTTTTGCTTAATAAAGCTTATTAAAAGATAATTATTGTTATTTTCCTGTTTATAAATAAAATTATAAATTTATTATTTTGTTGTTACTATATGCCTTAACATAAAACAGCTTATTTTTCTTATCGCAAATAAATTGTGTTGAACACTCGCTCTCTTATATATATTTTTTTTTGCATTATTTTAGCCTTTTTATTGCTGATAATAACAATTAACATAAATTAACATGATTTAACATGTTTTTTTTATACTTTTTTATATAATTTTAAAATCTTTTACTTATTTCATTAACTTTTGCTTTCTTTTCGTTCTATTTTTTATTTAAATTTTAAAATATTTCTATTTTTTTAAAAATGTTTTTGATTTTGTTGTCTTTGTTTTAACCTCCACCTTGATTATCTTTAAAAAACACAAAATTTTTGGGTTTTTTCTCATTTCAAACGAAATATTTTGTTTTGACGTCAAATTTTTATAGATTTTGTTTTTTTTATTGTTTTCTGTATGGGGTGTGTCTTTTCTTTATATATATGTTCCTTAATTTGTTGTTTTTTTGTATAAAATTAACAAAAATTTTAATTATTTGCTGAAAACAAAAATTTTCACTTTTTAACATCCTCCTAAAGATATGCTTTAATTTTTGTTTATAAGTTATTCTAACTGTTACATTCTCTCTTCCTAGTTGGTTGGTTTGTAATTGACAAAGCTGCCAC